ACGGTTTAGCCAACTGGGCGAACCCTGCTACAAATCGCCGGTAGTAACCTGCTAAGCCTAAGAAACTCCTGACTTCTTTCACTGTCCTCGGCCTCTGCTATTCAAGGATTGCCTGTACTTTACTCGGATCCACTGAAATCCCCTCCTTAGACACAGTATGGCCCAGAAATATCACCTGATCAAGCCAAAATTCACACTTAGAAAATTTAGCGTACAACTTTCTTTCTCTCAATCGTTGTAACACTATCCTCAAATGTTCCTCATGCTCTTCCCTCGACTTAGAATAAACCAGGATATCATCAATGAAAACCACTATAAACCAGTCCAAGTAATCATGGAATACCCGATTCATCAAGTCCATAAAAATTGCTAGGGCATTGGTCAAACCAAACGGCATCACTACAAACTCATAGTGCCCATACCTTGTACGAAAAGCAGTCTTAGCCACATCTTGCTTAGCCACTCTTACCTGATGGTACCCTGACCTCAAATCAATTTTAGAGAACACTGCAGCTCCTTTTAACTGATCGAACAAATCATCAATGCGAGGTAGCGGGTATTTATTCTTTACTGTCACTTTATTCAACTCTCTATAATCGATACACATCCGTAGTGACCCATCTTTCTTCTTCACAAACAAAATTGGAGTTCCCCAGGGAGAATGACTCAGTCGGATAAAGCCTTTGTCCAAAAGCTCTTAAAGTTGTTTCTTTAATTCCTAAAGCTCTGTTGGGGCCATTCGATAAGGGGCTTTGGATATTGGTGCTGTCCCTGGTGCTAATTCAATACTAAACTCAACCTCCCTTTCTGGAGGCAAACTCGGTAACTCTTCCAGAAACACATCTAGAAAATCGCGAACTACTAGCACCTTCTGACTCTTTGGCTGTGGAAAAACACCATTTTGCACTACATGGGCGATATATCCCGAACACCCCTTCCTCAACATCTTCCTAGCCTTCACACTACTAATCAGCATGCTCAACTGATGGCCCTCTTCAAAACTAAATTTATCTCCATTATCGAGATTAAATCTCGCTTTCTTCTTCCGACAATCAATGTCTACCCCATATCTCCCTAGGAAATCCATGCCCAATATCACATCAAAGTCGAGCATATCAAAAACTATTAGATCAACTGGTAAATCTCTACCCTGGATCACCACAGACTCTCCCGTCAACATCTCTTGCGTCAGGACACTAATCCTATCGGGTAACTCTATCCTAATGGGTTGAGTCACTCTAGTAGGTTTCAAACCTAACCTCTCAATCATCCCATACGATATAAAAGAATGAGTGGCTCCTGAATCAATTAAAGCATACAAAGGAACAAAATGAAATACTAACTAACCAGTAACGACTGATGGACTAGCTTCTGCTTCACCCTGTACCACTGTAAACACTCTGGCATTCGTAGTACCTTCAAAACTCTGTGCGGGTGGTGGAAGAGGAGCTTTACAATCTCTCATCAAGTGCCCTGGTTGTCCAAACCTAAAACACACCATCCGGTCCCTCAGACACTCTCCTAGGTGGTTCTTCCCACATTTAGGGCAAAGAGGAAACCCTTCCGTTCGGGGCTTATTCTTCCACTCTCTTCTGTTCTGTCTAAACTGAAACTTCTTCTTCTAATTCTTCATTTCTTTGCCTTTCACACTCTCAAATTTCTCTCTCTGCGGGGCGGAGGATGGCTCACTTGGTCCTCCTGTTGAGGAACCTACTAGGGGAATTTTATTCTCAAATATTTTCGCCCTCATTGCTCGCCTCAAGGCCTCACTATAAGTTCAAGGGGGATCGAAACTCGTCATTATATCCCGCGCTATCTCCGGCTTCAACCCATGTACAAACTTATCTCTTCTCAATGTCGGAGTACTAACTATTCCAGGTGCAAATCTTGCAAGGGAGTTAAATTTCACTGAGTACTCCTTCACGGTACTAGACCCTTGCTGTAAACTGATAAATTCTTGGACCTTCTCATGAACTCGGTCCTCTGTCCTATACTCGACCTCAAACTTTTGCATGAACTCTTCCCAAGTCATTGTTGCCACATCATGGGTTTCTTCCATTAGTTCCCACCAAATTCGGGCATCACCCCGAAACAAGAAACTAGCATATCGGATCTTCTCCGGGTCCGTCATGGGGAATAAACCCGTTATTCGCTCTATGGCCCTAAACCACTCTTCTGCTATTCCTGGGTTCGTAGTACCCTTAAACTTTGAGGGTTGGTGTTGACTGGGAAGATCATAAATTGGTTCAACTCTATTCTGTACTGGGGGAGGTACCGGTTGTTCTCTTCCTACATTAATAGTTGGTGGTACTTGCACGGGGGTTACAACTATCCCTTGGGTTTCTGCCATAACTTGCTGTATAATCTCCTGAACTCTAGCTTCATCCAAGGGAGGGGGCATAGCTTCTGGTGGGTTAGAAGATTCTCCCTCATTCATCACACCCTTAACACGTTTTGCGTTACTCCCCTCATCTACAAACAATCACATTTAATCAATTCGAGACACATGGTAGTAGAAGAATGTAACTCCACACGTCGGTTATCGACTCGTAGCGATGAGAATAGTACACTGTCAAATCCCAAAATCTTTGCTCTGATACCAAAAATGTAATATCTACTTTCTAATCAAGTACCATAAAATATACATAATGAAATTCACATAAGATAGTAAAAGAGTTGGGCCCAAATTTTTCTTTTATGAAACATATACATTCTTTATAAAAAGTTTGGATTATGTACAAAAGTTATCAAAAACATGATGGATAGTGTAACCATTTCTCCTCGCGTGCCGATGCCCATCCGACCGCGTTCTCACTTAGATCCTGCAACCACAAGAAAACAACGGGTGAGCACAAAACAATGCTCAGTAAGTAAATCCTCTACTCGACTGTCCCCGTAATTCCTTCTCTTAATTCTTCCTTACCTTTCTCATCTCATTTATTTTCTCTTTCACACAGCTCTCTTACTTACTTCTGCTATGTCACGGCCTCATCTTACCGGAGGCACGGCCGTGGAGTTCACACAGCACCAACCCACTCTTCGTGACTTCGGGTGGAGATCACAAAGCACCAACCCGCTTTTCGTAACTATGGGTGGAGCCACAAAGCACCAACCCATTTTTCATCACAATCAGGTGGACATTACAAAGCACCAACCTGTTTTTCATATTTCTCATTCTCTCTACTTTTAGAATAGTTCATACACTGGTTCTCTACTCTTTCTCAAGCCAATTCTCAATGCACATTAATCTTCTCCACTAATGCACTCATAAATGCCAACATGCATTGTTGCAGAATTAAAGTTATTACTCATGATTCTCTTAGACATTTCATCAAACAACTAGTGTGCATACATAAACTCTACTTCATCTATGGTTCCATCCCTCTCTTTAACCATCCAAAATGGGAGGAAACTCCCTCACATCTAGTCTAAAAGAACACTCCCAGAAAATACTCAACCTCTCCACTTCATTTCAAACTACATCCTCTCATCACTACATATTCATCACATATTAACACTTCTCATCAATGAAGTGTAATCAACAACCTAAAGCAAATACTCATCTCAACCCATTTCTCAATAGCATAACATACACATGCATATATATCTCTACTTAGTCCTACTCAAAAGATTTCTCAAATTTCAACTTGGGTTTGATTTACTTACCTTGTAAAGCATTTTCCTTCTTTTAAAATGCTTGTCCCTTCTCTACAACTTTACACATAAACCCATAACACCATAAGATTTTCATACACAATATATGAAAAACTTCACATCTAAAGCAAGAATCCTTACCTTAGGATGCCTTAGATTAATTCCTACCAAGATCCAACTAAAAACCCTCAAAATCCTTGAAACTTGAAGGAAGTTGAGAGGAATGGAGAATGAAAGAGGCGGTGTAAGAAGAAGAATGAGAAGGGTTTACTAAGCTTAACCCCTTTTTAGCTCAAATTATCTTCATTCATTCCCATATTGCCCTTGCTCTTTCTTGGATTCCATCCTTGTCCTTTAATTCATTACAAACACACCCCCATTCTAACGTATTCTCCATAAAATTTCCTTACAATTTACTCCCCACTTTTCCTACTATTAGGGGTAGAATGGTCATTTACCCATATGGAGAATTCTCTAAAACCTCAATACACTTTTATGCCGTCCCGTCGCCGCGACGAAGAAAGTTTCGTCGCCCCGACAAAAAATTACAGAACTTACACCGCATTACCAAGCCAACGTCGCCGCGGCGAAGAACGAAATTCCACACTTCACCAAAACCCAACTAAAATCAGGGCAAACACTCAACCAAACCAACTAAGGGCCAACCAACTGAAAATAATGACATACAAGCTCAATAAGAACAAAGCAATAACATTCAATTAGACACATAATTTACTACTACCTCAAGTGGGGCATTACACACATCCACCCACCCAAGCTACTGTAGACCGCCATAACCACCATCGGCCACTGATGTCAGAACGATGGATTTGCTAATCGTGCACTGATTCCAACCAAATCTACGACCAAATCTATCTGGTCATTGACGACGACTAGATTTTGGCAGTTACGAAGGCCATAAAATCTGGGCTTCAAAACGGCCAAATTTTGGCTATAAATCTGGCCGTTTTCGGCCAAATACATGGTAAATCTAGTTGAAAAAGGTCGGACTGACGCACGACTGCCAGATCCAATTGATCGTGTACCATTTCATAATTGTCAGCCATTGTCTGACGGTAGTGACCGACTACAGGCAGTTGGTGGGATGGATAAAAGTGTTTTTGTTAATTTAGAAACTTTTATTACGAGGAATGTTTAGCTAAATTAACATATATGGAGGTTAAAATTAGTCTAAATGTTTTCAAAAAATATACCAAAAACCCATTCTCATGATCATATCTTATTTGTATAACCATCTTATTGATATAATCTTATCTCATCATTTTTTAACACTTCCCCCCCCCCCTTTTTTTTTTTTTTTTTTTAAGCGTGGTTGAACAATAAACGACATGTCGTCCAAATGTAGGAATTATCTACTTCTTCCGCCTCTTCCGGTTCTGGTGTGGGAATGAGAGACAAAAACGGTGGTGCGTTGCCGCTCTCCCTTTGAACTTCAGCAAGTGATCCAGGTTTTAAAGCGGAAACGCGCGTCTGATTGCAGACACACAAAAGTGACAAAACGACAGCCTGTCTCTCCATTTTAAACAGTCCTTCGCAATTCATCGCACACACAATCTATCTATCACTCAAAAATTAGAGAAGCACTATAAGCAAAAACCCTAGCTAAAGAGCGTCTTTGCAACTAAAGCCACCAAACGAAAATGAAATTTCGGTTTCACAATAAAGTCCCTATTTTCCCTCACCATTTATGGCATTACGAGCAGCATCACTGCCGTCAATTTTCTCCTTCATTTGTGAAGAAGCTCTTTACAACGTCTCAAGCCCGTGCGTCTTCAAGTGGTGGCACAAACAATGGTCAAGGTCATTATTATACTTCTTTCATGTTAGCTGTTTGTTTGTTTGATGACTATGCTGGTCCTTTGTATGCTTGTGGTTGAATTTGACAAGAAACATTGTTGTGCAGGCAATATTTTCCTGGTACCTGGTGCCACGGTTGCTACTTTACTTATGCTTGGTGCTCTTCACGCTCGCAGGCTCTATGATGACAAGAAGGTATATATTAGTTTTGCATTTTCATAAATTGATGATGCTAGCAGTAAGTTGCATACTAATGCAAAGCATTTAGGAGTTTCATTGGTTGTTTCTTTTGTTTTATGTATTCAATTTCCTTGGTGATAGGTTGAAGAGGCACGAGAGAAAGGGGCTGACATTGAATTCAAACCTGACGTAAAAGTAATTTTTCTATCAACATCTACTATGTGTTTTAAGCTTCACATCCTGTGATTTCATTTCTAACTTTTACACAACATTGCCAACTTCAGGCTACATTTCTGAGAATGCTACCTCTTCGTTCAATTTCTAGGTTTTGGGGTTTCCTGACAAGTGTGGTAAGCTGTCTTCACAATGTATAAGCGAAAAAGCTTATAACTCTCTTAGCTATTTATTTACAAGTTATCTTTGGGTCTCTTGATTTCCTAAGCCATATCAGAATTTAAATATTTTATGATTCCAGTATGCCTCATTCATCTTGGATGCACCTGATGATCAAGTATGATTGTTTTATGAGTTTATTTGCTAACATGTTTTCAGGAATTTCCTGTCTGGATGCGTCCATATGTTTATAAAGCATGGGCTCGGGCATTCCATTCAAGTATGATTGTTTACTTCTTATTCTTTTTTCTATTTCTTTTTGTTGATTAATTGATATAGCTATCTCACAAGTGTTCATAGAGGTTTATTCTGTTGTTGAAAGTGGTAGGATACATGTTTGATCATTGTTTCTGTAAATGATATATAGATAAAGGTTTCTTGTTTGCGTTACAGACCTGGAAGAAGCAGCTCTGCCTCTGGATGAATATGCTTCTTTAAGAGAATTCTTTGTTCGTACCCTGAAACAAGGTTCCAGGCCTATTGACCAGGATCCTAATTGTCTGGTAACTAGTAACTAGCACCTTGGTCATCCAATACATATGTGCAGTTTGCTTATTGTTCTACACATTTTTTTATTATGTTTCATGCATTGCTAGGTTAGTCCTGTAGATGGTACTATTCTAAGATTTGGAGAGTTGAAAGGGGTTGGTGCTATGATTGAGCAAGTTAAAGGGTTTTCATATTCCGTTTCTTCTCTTCTTGGTGCTAGCACCTTTCTTCCCACGATAGCTGAAGGTGAAATGCATGAAGAGACTGGTGAACAAGAAAGCATTCTTACAGACAACACTAAGAAGTCATGGTGGAGAATTTCATTAGCTTCTCCCAAAGTCCAGGACAACATGTTAGCACGGTAATTTCAAATCATATTTCAATTTTGTTTTGATAACAATTATTAACTTCATGTGGATAAAGATTCTTGTTTTGGATGATTGAGCAATGAAAAATAATTGTCCAATTCCTTTGTAGCATGGTACTATAAGCAGTACATGATTGATTGCTACATGAGCTGAACATACATGCAGATTTCATTTGTTTTTAAAATCTTTAAATGCAGTCCAATGAAAGGCCTTTATTACTGTGTGATATACTTAAAGCCTGGAGACTACCATCGAATACACTCACCAGTTGATTGGAATGTTCTAGTTCGTCGGCATTTTTCAGGTAACTCTATTCCTTCATGTTTGTTACACCAAGTAGTCTTTGTTGATGGTTCTAATATATAGAAATTGGTACGAGATGGTGGGGTTATTATGGCAGCATATCTGTCTTCAGGAAGTCATTATCGATAATTATTTCTCATATTGAAGGAGGAAAGCCACAAAAAGAGAAAATTGTGTCTTGCAGAAGTATGTGTTTGGTTTGTGACCTTCTGAGTTATCAAAAGAACTTTACTTTTTTGATCTGGGATGCGAGAGTGTAATTATGTTCTCTAATGATATCTGTGCTTTATCTTTTGTGGCTGTTTTATCTGTCCTGTGTTACCTTCTTTTCCCTTAAAATAAGGAAATCTGTACACCCTTTGTTTGCAGATGTTTATAATTTTGTTGTCAAACTTTTTGTTCCCACCGGATATTCCTACAGTCAATTTTTTCCCTTCTAATATTTTATTTTAATTCATTATTTTGCAGGTCGCCTCTTTCCTTTGAACGAACGTGCAACAAGAACAATTAGAAATCTTTATGTGGAGAATGAAAGGGTAATTTTCTTTCTTCAACATATTCATTTTATTATATTTTCTTAAACCAGACATGAAGGTTTGGATCAACCGAGCAGCTTTCAATTCTACTTTATTGGTTTTTGTTTATCTTATTGTTATAGGATTTGTGCTTGTTTTAGCTGTTAAATTTTGAAAATTTCTGCTATGTTATCGTTGAAAGGGGAGATTAGGAAGAACTGAAATCATGTACAAAGTACAGATGAATAGAATTGATAAGATGGGAACAGTTGCATCTCATCTTCACTCTATATATCTTTCAGTCTTGGTTCTAGTTTTCTGCTCTCAGCTGCAGTGGATTGTTTTGTAGTTTAGTATCATTAAATTCCCAGATGCTGATTATCTTTTTATCTCTTGGATATTTTGATATGTTTCTAATTTTCTGTTTTCTTTTTTCTCAAATTGCAAATGAGTTCAGATTGCAAGTTGTGAAATCCCATCTTTCTTGCTAGATATGAATTTTCACCAATTAGATTCGTGATTTTCATGTGTCTAGGTTGTGCTTGAAGGTCTGTGGCAAGAAGGGTATATGGCAATTGCTGCAATTGGAGCAACTAATATTGGATCAATTGAGGTTAGGACCCCTTACCCTGAACCAATGAGCTACTTCTCACAGAAAAGGAATTTGAAAAAACAAAAGCATGCTTGGATCAGCTCACACACACACACACACACACACACACACACACACACGAATACTCTCATTTGAACTCTTTGCTCATACATGTGATATGAACAATTAACAATACTGAACCACTGCGGAATTATTCATCTCCAAAAGTCAGAACTTCTAGGCCCAAGGTCACTGTATGCCACCAAGACAGTACGTGCAAGAGAACAGTAGTGCAATTAGTGATTCTCCTATTTGAGCTTCTATCATTGACTTTTGGTTTAAATAACTATGGCAGCTTTTCATTGAACCAGAATTCAAGACAAACCGGCCAAGAAAGAAGTTATTACACTCAGAGCCTCCAGAACAACGGGTGTATGAACCTGAAGGTGTTGGAATGATGCTTAAGAAAGGAGATGAGGTTAGACATGCACATTGAATGTATCTTTTCAGAATTGTGTGCTTGATGATTTATTTTATTTCTGGAAGTGAAATCTGGTTTTTGGAACAATCTTGGACTGTCAGAGAAGTTTTTCAAAGCACCATTTTAATTTTATAATGGATTTCAACAAATGAGCACACATTAATTGATAGTCTATTTTGATTTTTTTTTTCTTTACTGGATTAAAATATAAATAAACTAATATTTAAAATTTTGTTCTAACTGTGAATCCTTTTTAGTTAATTTTAACTGTGAATTCCAAGATATAAATAAAGTACATCAATCTTTAGCAGAGTTTGATGTATTCTCTTATCATTTATTTTTCATATTGGGAAGAATTAGATACGGTGTATGTCTTCCCAATTAAAAGTTGTTTTTATTAAAATGGAGAAACTGATGTTCATAATTTTTTTGTCCTCCCTGCTTCAACCTATCCAGGTGGCTGCCTTCAACATGGGATCAACGGTCGTGCTTGTCTTCCAAGCCACGACTTTGAAATCACTTGAAAGTAATGATACTTTGTCAGAGTTCAGTTTTAGTATCAAACGTGGAGATAAGATTCGTGTTGGAGAACCACTGGGGAGGTGGCAAGATTCTTGCAACTGATCATAGTGGTATACAATTGAATATGTGTGCTCTAAATATGATGCTGCTCTGATGGGCATGAGTTTTCTATTAGTAGTAAGGGCGGGAATGATGCTTGTGCCATAGAGCTCTTGGTTGGCTTGATGTTGAACAAAGGAAAAGCTTAACTTGGTAGTCTACCAAATTCTGTTTGGCTTGACTAGGCCTTTAATTGGGTCATAAACTGAGATTATGCCTGGGTTATTGGTTCCAGATAACTTTCAAGAATCTGATTGAGCAGAAATATTCGACTGATGTAATTGATAATAGATGATTTTCATTTTCTTTGATGGCTATTGGCTTCCTTTGTAGCCACCCTCACATGATGAGGGTACTTTTGAGCACTGTTTTAAAAACCGGTCCAGTCGATCCAACTGGTTCGACCGGGAACCGGTCACGTGTCCGGTTCAAGTTAACACGAAAACCGCTATTATGTAATAAACCGCTTTAACCTCGTTGGAAAACTGGATAAAATCAGTGAACTGCCGGTCTGGTTGATAAACCGGTCGAAATTTTCAAAAACCCCTAACCTTACGCAATCGCAATCCATTCCATCTGATTTCCTTTCTCTGTTTCTTAGCTTCTTCTCTTTCTCTATGAAAATTTCTTAGCTTCTTCTCTGTCTTTACGAAAATTTCTCTCTAAAATCCCACTCAAATCGCAATCAACTCCACTCCTTGGAGTCTAAAATCGCAACCATTCACCAAATCGCAACTGAACTCTCTGAAATCGACGACGACGTCTTTCTCCCTCGTCGGAAATCGACGACGACAACTCCCTTTCTCATTGGAAATCAACGGCGACAGCTCCATTTCTCGATCTAGGTAATAAACACGCCATTCTTCAATCCAACTTCAATAATGATTTCGTTGCAAACTTTATCTGGAGCAATGTGTAAGTGCATGTATTTCCAGATTATGTGTATGTGCATGTATTTCTAGATTATGTATTTGAATTCACGTGTCCTATTATATCTTAGGAAAGATTATGTTTCAAATTAGCAGAAAAGGGGTGTGAATCAACTATATAATTTGTGGATGAGCAATTTATCATGATTTTTTGTATTTTTTTCTTCTTTTATGAGCTTAATTTCGTCTGTCTATGTAGTTAGCAGAACTTTTATTGATATACTTTATGTTTTACTTGAATATTTCTTTTACTGAGTTATTTTATGTACAACTATCAACTGGTTTTGTGGTATGTTTGTTGCTAAGTGTGTCTACAATCGATGGAACTTTATGGGATGGTATGGGATGGAATAAGGACTTATGACGACAATAAAATACTACCTCATTCTTTTCAAATTCTAATTGATATATTTACTGTTCGGTTACTTTTAGCTTAATGATGTTGTTGAAGCAAGTACTACTTTCTTGTTGGTATCAGTATACTTATAGCATTTTTTGCATTAATTACTGTGAAGAAATATTTTCTTGTATATTCATAATGAGATGTACAATGAATTTATAGCAAAAACAAAAAACTAATCTAGGAAGAAGATAATTACATTCCTAATATAATTGATCTGATTCCTAACCTAATATAGAGAATAATTTTATTTCCTATTTTACACTTCAACACTCCCCTTCAAGCTGGAGCATATAAGTCATATGCACCAAGCTTGTTACAAATAAAATCAACACGAGAACCCTTGAGAGACTTAGTGAGGATGTCTGCTAACTGGTCGTTGGAACTGACATAACTAGTTGCAATATCCCCTGATAGAAATTTCTCTCGAACAAAGTGACAATCTATCTCTATGTGTTTAGTCCTCTCATGAAACACTGGATTTGAAGCAATATGAAGGGCAGCCTGGTTATCACAGAGTAACTTCATTTGTGATACTTTGACAAATCTCAACTCTTGAATTAGTTGTTTTAACCAAACAAGCTCACAAGTGGCCACAGCCATTGCACGATACTCTACTTCAGCACTTGACCTTGCAAAAACCGCTTGTTTCTTACTTTTCCATGAAACTAGATTTCCTCCAACAAGGACACAAAAACCTGAGGTAGAACATCTATCAGATGGAGATCCTGCCCAATCAGCATCTGAATATCTGATAATATGTGAATGGCCCTTATTTTCATATAGTAAGCCTTTACCTGGTGCTCCCTTGAAATACCTTAAAATCCGGACAACTGCATCCCAATGACTATCACATGGAGTTTGAAGGAATTGACTTACAACACTAACAGAAAAGGAAATATCAGGTCGGGTGATAGTAAGATAGTTAAGTTTTCCAACAAGTCTTCGATACCTTCCAGGATCAGCAAGAGGCTCCCCCTGTCCAGGTGAGAGTTTCAAATTAGGATCCGTAGGAGAATCTATTGGTCTGCAATCTGACATCCCTGTTTCCTCTAGAATATCCAGTGCATACTTCCTCTGAGATATAACAATACCAGATTTGGACTGAGCGACTTCTATGCCAAGAAAGTATTTGAGTAGCCCTAAGTCTTTCGTCTGAAAGTGTTTGAACAAGTGTTGCTTCAACTGTCCAATGCCATCTTGATCACTCCCTGTAATGATAATATCATCGACATAGACAACTAGATAGATACATTGCCCTGGTGATGTATGTCTATAAAAAACAGAGTGATCAGACTCACATTGAATCATACCAAACTCTTGAATAACTGTACTAAATCGTCCAAACCAAGCACGAGGAGACTGTTTGAGGCCATATAGAGAACGACGAAGTTTACATACCAAACCAGACTCCCCCTGAGCAACAAAACCAGGAGGTTGCTCCATATAAATATCTTCCTGAAGTTCACCATGAAGAAAAGCATTCTTAATATCCAATTGATGCATAGGCCAGTNTCTGTCCTAATATGATAATCCCTTAAATTTGGGTTAAGTAAACCATTCATTTTATCATCACATGCATTTCGGTTTCCACTGAACAATCAATAGTAAATTGACCATAACTTGCTCAATAAAAATCCAATTGATGAGAGGATTGAATATTTAGAAACTAGATAGACAGGACTTTAATTTGATATATTATACACTTAATTTGGAAAATTGTATCCGCCACTGCCGAACCATTCCTTTCATTATCACACACATTTTGGCTTCCACTGAACAGTCAGTAGTTAATTGATCATAACTTGCTCAATAAAAATCCAATTGATGAGAGGTTTGAATCTTTAGAAACTAGATAAATAGGGCTTTAATGTGATATATTATATGCTTAATTTGGATAACTTTAACCCCACTTCTGAATTATTCCTTTTATCATCACACACATTTTGGTTTCTCCTATTTCTTGATTTTCACTGAATAGTCAGTAGTAGATTAACCATAACTTGCTCAATAAAAATCCAATTGATGAGTGGTTTGAATACTTGAAAACTAGAAAGATAGGGATTTAATTTGATATATTATATGCTTAATTTGGATAACTGTAGCCCCACTGTAAAACTATTTCTTTTATCATCACACACATTTCAGTTTCCACTTAACTGTCAGTAGTAAATTTGTCATAACTTGCTCAATAAAACTCCAATTGATAAGAGGTTTGAATTTTTAGAAACTAGACATACAAGGCTTTAATTCGGTATATTACACGCTTAATTTGGATAAATGTAGCCCCAGTTCCGAACCATTCCTTTTATCATCACACATTTCGATTTTCTTTGTTTCTCGATTTTCACTAAACAATCAGTAGCAAATTGGCCATAATTTGCTCAATAAAAATCCAATTGATAAGCGATTTGAATCTTTGGAAACCCAAAACTTTTGCAGTATTGAATCAATATTAAGTATTAGTATTGAAGTTAATTGGTACTAAATTGTTAATAGTAACCATATGAAGATGATTCAAGGACTTACCTGCTTCTTGTTGTTCAGGAAAACTCCAGCGTCAAGCTCATCAATCAGCTCATCACGGGCTTTGTCTTTCAGGGATTGATCATCAGCATTCTCAAGAATGAGGTCTAAGTTGTGTGGGAGGTTAACTTGACTTGAAGCCATCTCGTTACTCTTATTGATACTCTTCGTTGCACACCTAGTATTTATAGGATGAAATGGTCAAATAAATTACTAGTTTATTATCTACATCCTTCTCAATATACATATATATATATATATATTAAACTGTAATAAAACATACATTAGTTTATCTTTTCTAGAAAATGATAGGATAAATTTATCGCATCTTGAATAGTCACATTATTCTATCAAAAGAGTAAATTAGGTTATAGATTTTGTATAAGAACCAAAAGAGGTAACACCTAAATTAATGTGATTCTTTTGTTTGCAATTGTTGTATACTTCCCCATTTAACAATATGTGATTATGTGATTCTTTTGTTTGCAATTTCATTGTGTGATAGGTAGATAAAGATTAAAAACAGACAATGTCAACATCTGGCTCTGGGTCTTTTCACAATCTAGTAGAGGTAGGACTGATATAACATGGGCACATGTTATTGAGGGTGTAGATCCAAATTGAAGGAAGACATTAAAATGTCTTCACTATGGGAAAGTAACTAGAGAATGAGGTATTTTTAGAATGAAACAACATCTAGCTGGCATAAAAGGGGATGTTGGTGCTTGTTTAAAAGTTCATTTTGATGTTCAATACTTGATGAGAGAATCGCTAAAAGACATTGGGATAAAAAATAAAGAGAAGGCTGATTCTAGTAAGTATAATACTCCCTACGGTGCTGCCGTACATAGATTTGAGGGAGATATGTTAAATGAAGATAGTGAAGAGTTTCGTCCATCAGAAATTCACATAAATGAAAGTAGGTTTGGTAGTCAAAAACAAAGTACAATGCTAGACAAATCAAAAAGAAAAAAACCTATTGGTCTTGGTGACTATTTTGCTCCAAGGACAATTGTTGGATCTCAACCATCAATTAGGAGTTGTTTAGCTGGAAGAGATGCGACATGGAGAGCAGACATGACTTTTGCATGATTCTTTTACGATGCTTGCATCCCAATTAATGCTGTAAATTCAATTTATCTTCAGCCTTTTGTGGATGCTATAGCTGCAATTGGGCCTGGGTATAAACACCCAAATTATCATGGTTTGCGTGTCAACTTGTTAAGAGATGCTAAGAAGGAAGTGTAACTTCTCCTTGATAGTTATAGAAAGATTTGGGAAAATGTTGGATGTACCTTAATGGTTGATGGTTGGACTGATAATTCACATAGGTCATTGATAAATTTTATGGTGTATTGTCCTAAGGGAGTTTGTTTTGTGAAATCAGTTGATGCTTAAGATGTTGTGAAGGATGTTGGGACGTTGTTGAAGATGTTTGAGGAGATAGCTTTATGGATTAGACCAAATAGTATTGTCCATTTTGTCTTAGACAATGGATCAAATTATAAAACTGTTGGAAGAATGTTGTCTGAGAAATTTCCGAGTATTACTTGGTCGCCCTGTGCAACACATAGCATAAATTTGGTGTTAAAAGACATAGTGGAGATGGATCATATAGTTTATCTTGCGAGACGTGTTTCTGAGGTAACGAAGTTTGTATATAATCATACATTCTTGATAGCTTGGTTGAGGAAAAGACATGTAATATACCTTTAGCTCATGTTCTTGTCATTTTGTCAAGTCACAACATAATATGCATTTTTTTTAATTGACTAACATCTATTATTTATCAATTGAACAGGGTTGGAAAAAAATTATTCGTCCGGACGCAACCGGTTTTGCTACAACTTTCATTGCAATGAGAAGCCTTCATGAGCACAAACATGACTTGCAAGCCATGGTGACAGATAAGTCATTTGTCGATTCTCGATATGCAAAAAGTAATAAAGGCAAACAGACTATTGACATAATTCTAGATAACGATTTTTGGAATGATATGGGTAAGATATCCAAAGTTGTGAGTCCATTGATGCGTTTGTTGCGGATTGTTGACTCAGATGAGAAGCTTGCAATAGGATATGTGTATGATGGCATGTACTGAGCGAAAAATGCAATTAAGAAGTTGTTTAAGAATAAAAAGAGATTGTACAAGCCTTATACACAAATCATTAAGCTACACTGGGATAAGACGTTGCGTCGTGATATCTATGCTGCGGCTTATTATTCGAATCCTGCCTTTAAATATGACGAAGAATCTTTTTGCGCCAAGCCAAAGTCATGAGCGGTTTCCTTGATACTATTGACAATAAAGTAAGTGCGTTCAATTTGAACAAGTCAAGGTTAATAGAAGAGAGTAGAGTATATTCAAACCGGGAGGAAAGCTTTTCTTGTGGGCTTGCTTTTGAAACCTCCAAAACCACACGTCCTGGTACGTAATAGTTATAAAATTTACGAGTTCTTTTATTTTTTAAGTCTAATTTATTTATTATTTATAGTACTCCAAATTTGCAAAAGTTTGCAATCAAAATTCTTAGCTAAACTTCAAGCTCTTTGGGATGTGAACGAAATTGGAGTGTTTTTGAGTGCATACATACTAAAAAGAGGAATAGATTAGAGCATCAAAGATTGAATAATCTTGTTTTTGTTCACTATAACTTGCGTTTGCAAAACAAGTATAAAACATTGTCAATTACTCAATTATGCATTACTCTTATTGTTATTATCTATTATTTTCCTTGATATTTTACTTGTCATGCTTTTAATATTTCATTATGGTATTTTAGGAGGTGTTACAAGAGAATAAGTTTCGATCCTATTGATTATGAAAGTATTGACAAAACTGAAAGTTGGATAGTTGATGATGAAGAGGAGGTCAATGAACTTAATTATGAAGAGTTGGAACAAATGTTATATGGAGAAGGATCTATTCCTGCTGGAGTTGCTGATCACCCTTCTTTTTATGATTCAACCGATGGTTCAGAAGGTTGGTTTCAAATATTTAAGCAACTTAGTATATTACAAGTTTTAACTTATGATTTCCATTTTTTACTGAAATTTATGTAAATGATGGTGATGGTTATGATAATGATGATGGTGATGAATTTTGATGATAGTGTGTGAAGCTCAATCAACATAGAGACGGATCAAAGAAAAAACACTTGCACCAAATGTTTTGTTATTAATTATTATATATTTTGTCATTTAATATGTAATGGATGAACACAATATCATATTTTGGATTTGGACTTTAGATTGTTGTTAAATACTTAAATTATGTTGAGATTGTTATTAAATTTGAACTTTGAATCATATTAGGTAGTAATGAAGTTGTTATTGTCTTATTAAAAAAAATGGAAATCTTTAAAAAAAAAAAAAAAAAAAAAAAAGTTTTTCATGTGCTGATGTGATGACATCATCGGTCCAATCGGTTGGACTGGTTAACCGTGAACGGAGAGCAGAGCGGATTATCTCCAGTCGGGTTTTAAAACAATGCTTTTGAGTCCTTTTTCTCTTTGCTTTTGTTACTGACGCGGACGCCCCTCAAGGCTGCAAAACAGAGATCTCTTCCACTCCTGTCATTCGAAATCTGGTGAGGCTTTTCTACCTAGAATCTGGTATTAGAGAAGGAAATGGCTTGTTGCATGAAATGCAACTTAGAAAGACTGCCAATTTGAGGACGAGTAACTGATACACTGAAAAGTTGTATCACACAACGAATTTGCGTAACTTTTCATCCATAGACGACTGGACACTAGTTGCATGCAGGATAATTCGCACCTTAATTTTGCAATAAACAATTCAATTGATTTCAGATGTCTTATTGTCTTTGGACCAAAGCTTCGTGATCTTAAAATATTTTCTCCATTATAGCAATGAGATAGTTCTAGAATAATTCAAGGGTTCACAACTCACAGCTTGTAGACCAATACTAAAAATTTTCAACCATGGATAAATATAAGATATAAATAAGTGGAATATATTATATATATATATATAATATATAATATATATATATTAAAATAATAATAATAATAATAATAAAAGATAGCAAATATATATATTATATATATTATATATATATATATATATATATATAATATTATATATATTAAAATAATAATAATAATAATAAAAAGACAGCAAATTACTCTTATTACAATTGAATGTGGGTGCATACAAGTCATACCACCCATTTTGATACAAGTTTATTACATATAGCCATGTATTTGTGATGGCTTCAAGTTCAACCGAAATAGAAACGGTTTACGTTTTCTCCTATTGTCCAATTCATTCATATTTTATATCTCTTCATAGCAGAATAATCAATCAAACTTTCTGCAGAAATTCATCTGTCATGCTAAATAACATCAATTCTCATTAATAGACAAATATTCTAATAAAGACATCTTTGAAGGCCTAAAAGTTGGCCAAGGAACAAACATTGACATTTTTAAATATGAACGAATAGCCATCACTGTAAAATAAAAGAGAGATAAGTGATTAGTGAGCAAATACTAACAGGCAAGGGGATCTAGGCATTAGTGAGTCATGTGAGTGAAAAAAGAATCCAAGTGTGTACAATAGTAAACTAGTAATTAAAGTATAACTGTTTGTGTGTATAACATGTATATTAGCGTTGTTAATGTACAAACATTGATACTAGTAGACAAGTAAAGTGTATTAATAAAAAAGTATTTTGTTCAACAAATATAGATCCAATGAAATAAGAAGATAAAATAAAATATAAAACTCCAACCCTCAAATACCCAACTCCAGTGCCTATAAATGATTTGCTACTAAAACTAATGTCATCATGGAAAATATTCAATGCATACGATGCCCAAATTCATTATAAAAATCAACCAGGATTTCCCTTGAATTTGTGAGTTATGTGTAATATGCACTATCTAGGACCCAGCAAACCCTTAAAGTATTCATCTCTACACCCTTCTATCCCTCGCATTGCCACCTTAAAGTATTATGTTCTCCACAACCATTTCAGATTAAGATTCAAACAGCAGGGCAACTTCTTATATTAACGAGAATGATGTTAGGATGTCCTACCATACAACAGCAGAATAACAATACAACATAATGAATATTTTTCTTGCCAGAGAACAAAATATGACTTTATTTTGACGGCAGGAGAATAACTCTGTTTATTTAAACATGTCCCTTATGAATCCATCTTTCATAGGCATTCAAATCAATATCAAGAACATGAATTGGGAATACAATATCCCATTAAATAACTTTAATCCCAGTAATCTTTAGAAAATTCCAGCATCTAATTCAGGTAACAAACACTACACTGCTTGGCTTGATCAGTTCCATGAAGAAAAATCCAACCAATACACAATTCCATAATATAACTAATCCCATCACACTTTTGCACACAGAATGACAAACCACAGACAGACTTGGAAGGAAAAATAAAATAAAGAGCCTCTAATAGCCTATAAGCGGAGGATTTTGCAAGGTAATTTTTACTTTTGACGATAATCACTCAGAAGTTCTCAGCAACAATTGAGGAAAACATTGAAAATTCAAACTCATGTATAAATAACAAGAAAACCAACTCATGCACTGAAAGAGGTGGGACAAGAATAAAAAGAAGAAGCAAAATCATGAACTCTTTAAGAATGACCAAGAGTTATGAGACAACCCATTATATTGGGACAAAATTACAAGAAAAAGAAACTGACAAGCCACAACATATATTCCAGAAAAGAAAGGCAAGTAAACAATAGACATCAATGAAGCAACATGAAAAAAGCCAATGAGAAGAATTGAATCAGACCAGAAGCGTTTCATTTCATTAACCAGTTTGAATCCCAACTAAACAATATAACAGAATGGTGTTTCAATACATGTACATTCATATTTGCAGATCCATCAAGGTCTCCTTTCTCACCATCTTCAGACTTCAAATTCATTGATCATTCTGTAAAAATCTGTCTTCGCAATTTCGCTACTCTACATCAAAACTTTGCCCTGTGACGCCAACCGAAAACCCCATGTTAGTTGGTTTCTATTTACAAAAGAATCATACAAAACATTCCAAATTACCAAAAGAAAAACAATCGAAATCTTTTAAATAATAACTTGGTCCCATCTCAGACAAATTCAGATTCAGACTTCTAGTTCATGGGCATTTCAGAAACTAACACACTTTCACATTACAACACAAAGTCTCAACTAACTTAAATAACTAAAATCCGTGACTTGGTCCTAATCAATCAGCTCATGTGATATTACTTAAGAGAAATTTAGCGATTTAACCGAGATCGAAAATGGGCAAACAAAGAACAAAATATAATACAAAAAAGGCACACCTACGTCTGCTTAGAGTATGAGGAAGTGGAGGGGACCCGCTTGTTACGGAACATCATATAACCGACGGGTAACACAACTCCGATCATCATGATCGCCGCTCCTATTAGATACCTCAACGGACTCGGAGGCTCCACCTCAGATATTCTCCGAAACTGCACCGCACAAGATTATAGCACGATTAGAACTTAAAATTACAGTGAGAGATCTGGATCCGTGAATTCATATGAATTAAAAGAGGAAAACTTACAGGCATTCTTCTTAATTATTTTAGCTGGGGAAGGTAGCGAGAGTAATATTCACTGTTATTCTACTCAACGAGGTAGAGGGTTTGCTCTGTGATTGACGAAGAGGGCTTGCTCTGTGATTGACGAAGAGCGCTTCCTGGGTTTAGTTTGCCACCAACGGGATCTCGGCTGCTCTCTCTCTTGTTAAATTGATGCGGTAAGTTTAAGGAGGAAATTTAACTCGCGAGAACTCTCGAGTTTACATTTAAAAAAATAACCTTCAAATTATTTTATAATTATTGTTTAAGTTAGAAAAACTGACGTGATACACTTAGAATTCATTAAACATGTAAAATGGGTTAAACTGAAAAAAATTTAAATACATGTAGGTAATATTATAATTAACAAAAGTTTGTTTAAATTTTGAAAAATAAAAAACGACCTTCTCCCTTCAAAATCGCTTAATTGAACAATATACTCAAAAAACGATCGATGAAACACCTTTGATTTCTCTATGATTTTCGGCGATAAAGGTTCCAATTTTTGACCAATATTCGATCATAAAGATTCGTTACACAAAATCATGGCTGATATTCACAAAGAGGAAGAAAACCTAACCCCACTCCAAATTCTAGACTCCGGCGGCGATGGCTCTTCAAAGGTTGTCGAAGAAGACACTCCGGTGGAGCATCTGATGAGTTAAGGTGGTCCAGAGGTAGAGGAGAAAACAGCGACACAAGAATAGAAAGAAGAATCAGAAAATGGTTTTGAAGAGGAGGACACCGACGAGAATTCAGGCAAAGAGAAGGATGCCGATGAAGGAAGGGTACGTTTTTTACTGGTGGTTTTGAATTTGATGAAAAATTTGATAGGTTTGTGCGAATTTAGGGAATATGTAGTTGGTTTTATTGTTACAGTGGTTGTGGCGTTTTGTCGAGCAGTTGGCAGGCATCGGGGGATTGGCTTTGTTTGGGTTCTAGAGGATGGGGGAAGGCAAGGGAGGTCGTAGGGAGGTTGTTTGTGGGAGGTTGGAGGGTTGGGGATGCCAGAAGGTGGCGGAATAGGGAGGCTGGAGGGTTGCCCTGCAATCCAACCACCCTATTCCGCCACCTTCTGCCATCCTCAGCCATCTCCATGACTAGAACCTGCCACAACAGCCTCCATAGGGCCTCCATTGGCTTCCTCGGTCCTCTCGAAGCCAAAAACACCCTCTCCTCGATGCCCTCGAAGCCCATATCCCCCAAATTGGTAGCCTATTGGTTGTTTTGATTTCTTTTTTTGTTGATATTTAATTTATATCGATTGCGCAGATTTTCCGAAGCGTAAATTATAAAGACTATGGGTTAGAGGTTGTAAGCGATAAGGTACCGTACTTCCCTGTAAGGGTGACAGTTAGGTCGAGTTGACAAGTTTTTATGAGAATAATGGAGATTTTAAAGGAACAAAAGAAGGATATGGACCGATTCAAAGAGAGTTGTTTCAGTCATTTTGCGGACATCAGAGAAAATTTGAAAAAGGTGTTTGGGGGCAAGGAGTGCATTATATGTAGCTGCACTCAGTTAAAAGCCAAAAAAAAAAAAAAAAAAAAAATGAAATGTGGTTCGTGGTGGATGGGAACCCACCACGTTTTGGGATGATGGAATATGTCCTAATGACTGACTTAAGATGTGAGTCATTTCCAGATGCGGAAGAGCAAGAGAGAAAAACAAAAAGTAAGGCAGCCGATAACTTGGCTAAAAAGGTTTTGGAGGGGAAGACATCTATTATGAGACGCGATTTAGAGAAGAGGTTAGAAGAAGGTGGGTATACCTCTTCAAAAAGGTTCAAGATGTGTCTGCTGTGGTTCATGCATTCGATTCTAATGGCTTTTGACTCAACAAAAGCCATTAATATGGATTGAGTGAAGTTTGCAAGCAACATGTACTTCTTTAATGCTTATTCGTGGGGACGGGTATCATTTCAGCTAACCATGGACTCCCTACATGGAAAAGACATGGCGATAAAGCATCGTCAATCTGTTGAGAAGAATAGACTGAGCCCGTACAATTTGTTTGACTTCCCATGGGCAATGCAGGTAAATATTAATAGATTTTTGTTATATTTTTTTGTATTATATGTGTTTTAATTATGATATAGATTGTTTTTTTTACAATATAGGCTTGGATGTATGAGGTCGTCCCTGTCCTGGCTAAGGCGGAGGGAGGAAGAAGACTTCGGATGAGTGACTGCAATTTCCTAGGATATTGTGGTGGCACATCGAGAAGTGTACCCATTGGGATTACGGCAAAATAGACATGGATTTTCAAGCGGCTCAGGTAAGATTAAATGATTAATCTTTTGAATATGCACTTGCTTTTAAATGTGGCTTAAATTTGATTTATTTTTTTTCTTATTGCAGGGAGTCATCTGTCCCTTCCTCACCCCTACTAGAGGTGAAGCGAGAGAGGAGTATGTTACATCGTTCAGAGCATTAGACGATGTAGCAGATGAAGGGATAGACCGCCTAATGCAGGACCTAGAAGGGGTCACACATGTGAGTGCAGTTGCAGGGCCACTGATTGAGAATGTTGTTGACGTCGAGGATGATGAAGCTCCAATCGGCGGGAGGGAGGAGAAGGAGGAGGATGAAGAGGTCTGTATGCCTCCACCCAATTAGCAAACCGGTACAACAAGTACCACTTTGCCGTGGCATCGGGATCGGGAGAATGAGGTGGTTAACCTCATAAATAGTTTGTTTGAGAGTTTTACAACAACCGTTTATGAGAGGTTTGAGAAGATGGAAGAGGGGATGAAAATGGTGGAGGAGAAAGTTGATAGGGTGGCAAAAAAACTCGATAGGGTGGAGGAGGAAGTTGGTGGGGTATTGAAAGTGGTTGAAGTGCAACCTGAGCATAAAAGAGAGAGTCGAAAGAGTAAGCACATAAAATCTCCTTACACGGTAGTAAAGTATGGAAAGAAGAGGAAAACAAAGAAAAAAAATGAGGAAGTCCGTGAAAGTGAAAAATGGAGGAGGCTAAGGAGGAAGGCGGAGGAAGTAGGGAATTGAAAATGAAAGAGGGTGAGGCAAGATGCGAAAGAAGTGAAAAAGTGAAAATGGAGGAGGAAGTGGGCAAGTGAAAACAGAGGAGCTAAAGGTCAATTTGTATAGGCCAATAGATGAGGAAAAGAAAAAACTCCTCTATGCCTATTACAATGATTCTGGAAGTGATGGGTGTGTGAAGTGCATAACCGGGGATTATCCTCAAGAGTGAAAAGATGTTGACAATGGGCAAGTGGCTCGACAACTCAGTAAGTTATTTTTCCTTATGTTTTCCATAGGTATTGTATACTTATCATGTTGTTTTTATTTGATGCAGCACATCGATGAGTTATTGACACTTATGGGGCTACAACAAAGAAGTAATGGTGATATTTTGTATCCGCACTGTGCCATCACCGATGTGGCCTTTAGCCAAAGGCTAGTAACTACATATGACACTTTAATGAAAAAGGCCAATGGTGGAGTTGCAATAAGGCGAGGCAAGTGAAAAAGATTGGGCACAGATGACCTTGACGGTGCCCTTGATGATTTTCAATTTGATGAGAGGATGATGCAATATGTACGGGAGGAAAGACCCAAATATGGCAACAATTGGATAAACGTTAAAAAGAGTATACTATATCATGAACATCAGGGATATGCATTGGATAACCATTGTTTGGGTACTAGAGGAGGGCTTGTTGCAGATCCTTGATTGCAACCACAGTACTTGTCAAGAGAGGCAGTTAGAAACGAAGTTGCAGCTGCTGTGTATATTGTTCCCGCAGCTATTGCGCGATAGCCAGATGTTTCAGCACTTGGGTTATGAACTACTGACAGGAAAGTGGCCACTCAACCGCCTTCTCACCTCGATAAATGACTTGAGATAAATTTTGTATAAAACTTACATAATACAATTATTCTATAAGCTGATTCTAATGCTAATGTCTTCCTCCTATTGTAGTGCTCGGGGCATATGCACTAAAATTTATTGAGTTCGACATGACCAACACCCCAATGGACAGGTTGAATGACGAAACAATGAGCAACTTTCGAGAGCACTTGGCTGTTGAGTGCTTCCATGAACATATGGATCTTTTTTTACTGACCAGAACCCAATCCAAGTCATTGTTGATGTTGTCATCAAAATGTATGGAAGTTGGACTTAGAGTTTTGTAGTTTATGCGAAATACATTTCTTATTGGATTGTCTTGAATTGGACCAACTAGTGTTGTTAGGTGTCAAGCTATTGATACTTGGGTTGTGGTGTTATGTATGCTTTGTGGCCAAGACCAATGCTAGATAATGTTGGAAGGGCTGCTGTAGAAAAAGATGAAGAGGTTGTCATTGCTGATGCTGAAGGTGTGCTGAATAATTGTGGAGGATGGGGGAAGTGGTTGAAGAGAATGATGAAGAAGGAGGATGGAGGCTACTGGTGGTGCTTTTATTTTAGGTGTATATAGGGCATTTATTTGTTTTATATAATGTTGTAATTTAATGTAATTGACACATTTTAGATTTGTACAAAAATAATTCAGTATTTCTTTCCCTCTTTTGAGTTTGAGTTTATTTAGTATTCTTGTTAAATGGCATTAATGTGTTGATGCAATTAGGTTGTAAAATTCAGGAGAAAAGATGGAATTAATATGTGTTGGTGATTTTAGTTTGTCAAAATTCAGGAGAAAAGCTGGAAAAAATAAGTGTTGCCCATGATTGCTTAGGTGACTATATATATGGCTTAAGCAATCAAGGGTTTTCCATATAGGATTGCTTAAGCGAGACACTAAATCGTTTAAGTAATCGTGCATCTTGAATGATTTTGATTCTGCCTAGGACTTGATCGCTTAAGCGACCAAGGCTAAAAGCCAAGAATCACTTAAGCGAGAACATAAATCGCTTAAGTGATCGTGCATCTGGATGATCTTGAATTTGCCTTAGACTTGATCGTTTAAGCGATACTAAATTGCTTAAGCGACCAAGGCTAAAAGTGAAGAATCGTTTAATCGAGAACATAAATCGCTTAAGCGATTGTGCATCTGCAATGATTTTGATTCTGCCTTGGACTTGATCTTTTAAGCGATCCTAAATCACTTAAGCGACCAAGGCTAAAAGTGATGAATCGTATAAGTGATAAGCGATCCTAAATCACTTAAGCGACCAAGGCTAAAAGTGATGAATCGTATAAGTGATACATCAATAATCGCTTAAGCGATCATGGATCTAGGATGATCTTGATTCTGCCTTGGACTTGATTGATTAAGCGATCCTAAATCGCTTAAGTGACCAAGGCTAAAAGTGAAGAATCGCTTAAGCGACAAATAAATCACTTAAGCGATTATGCATCTGGGATGATCTTGATTCTACCTCGGACTTGATTGCTTAAGCGACCAAGGCTAAAAGTGAAGAATCGCTTAAGTGATACGTAAATCACTTAAGTGATCGTGCATTTGGGATGATCTTAATTATGCCTTGGACTTGATCGCTTAAGCAACCAAGGCTAAAAGTGAAGAATCACTTAAGAGACAAATAAATCAGTACTTAAGCGATCGTGCATCTGGGATGATCTTGATTCTGCCTTGGACTTGATCGCTTAAGCGACCAAGTGTAAAAGCGAAGAATCGCTTAAGCGAGAACTTAAATCGCTTATGTGATCATGCGCCTAGGTTGACTTGATTCTGCCTTGGACATGATCACTTAAGTGATCATGCATCACTTAGGTGATCAAGGGTAAAAGTGAAGAGTCGCTTAAGAGATCTTGATTCTGGCTTGTATATGATCACTTAAGCGACTGTGAATCGCTTAAGTGACTACGGCTAAATATACTGGATCGCTTAAGCGATACCTGAAATCACTTAAAGCGATCCTGTATATTCGAATTTTCTTTATATTGCCTTTGACAAGATCGCTTAAGCGATAACATACATCCCTTAAGCGACCAAGGTTAAATATACAAGATCGTTTAAGCGAAACCATACATCGCTTAAGCGATCAAACCTAATTTACTTTGGTACTTTAAAAACATTAAAATTTGTGTTATATAGAATCATTTTATACTTTCATATTTATTTTCCATGTTTATCTACACACGTAAATAAATTAGTTTAATTAAAATATAATTTTTTTTTTAAATCGATTAAGTGATTTAAATAATCAAATCAGTTGACATAAGACAGATAGTGGTCCACTGAACTAATTGTATAATCACAATTCAAGCTT